ATGAATCGGTTATCTTCGTCATGCAGTTGATTATATTTCTTGCTCCTTGTGCAGGTTGTCCGGGTGAAGTCGTTGAAGCTTGAATAGTGGTCGTCGCACTTGCTTGTGTTGAAGCCATTTGGGAGCTTGAAGGTCGAAGTTGTCGCTGTGGTGCCGTTGATTGCTGACGATTCGGGCAGTGTGTGCGCGGGTGCCCTGAAGTCTTGCAGATGTGGCAGAAGGGAGGTACTATCTTCGGTTGCTGCTGTCGGTTGTTATAATTGCTGTGTCGTCGTTGAGTGTGGAATGCGAACTCTGATACTGTCGTTTTCTTCCTGTGTCGTTCTTCCTGCAGGTCCATATCTTGCTGCTCGGCATGTATTTCGGCGCAGAGTGCAGCTTCAGAGATTCTTCCGTGGGCTCGAAGAATGGCTTTGGTGGCGCGCCACTGAGGACCAAGTCCACCAATGATGACTGTCACGAAGGCGTCTTCAGAGATTGACCCTCCGCATCGAAGCAGCTTGTCGCGCAGTTCGCGACATCGGCTGATATACGCCAGTCCTTTTTCTCCTGGTTTCATTTCGACTGTCGTCAACTGCGCCATTAACCTGCTCTGGTTTACACTGTCTGTTGCTTGATACAGGTTCTTCAGATGGCTGTACGCGAGCTCCGCCGAGTTGCCGAAGGTCCGGTAAGAGCGAATGTTCTGCTGCTGAGTTGGTGTCACGTTCCTCAATAGGATTGTATACGCCATCATTGATTGATACGTATACTGCTGCTTTTCATATTGTGTCCCGTTGGCTGGATACTGCAGGGACCCGTCGAAGAAGCCGAGTATCTGCGCGCCCTCCATCATCAGCTCGAATTCAAAGGAACAGGTAAAGAAGTCTTTGCCGTCGAAGGGTCTTGATGTTTGCAGTTTTAAGACGTGTGCAAACTGCGACTGAACTTGAAGTGCGTCCAGTGGTCTTTCTTGTCCAGGTGAAGGTTGCGGGTGGGGCACGAAGCTGATTGACCCGCGCTCGTACGGAGCAAAGGTAGGTTGCTGCTGCTGGTTTCCTCGCGCATATGACGACCCATCAAGACTCATGGGTGTCGCTCCGTTGTTGCTGTTGTGTGTTTGTGCAGGTCCCGACTGCTGGTGTTGTTCGTAGAAGGACATGAAGGAGAAAAATTTCTCCATCATGTTCTGGTCAAAGTCCGAAGGGTGGTTCATGGGGGTCTCGGTTGACGTTCCTCTTGGTCTTGTTGCCGTGCCTTCTTCTGTCTGCAGGCCAGAGGCTGGCGGTGGAGTAGGAGTAGTGCCCGAGGAGCCATTAGTGGAGCTCCTTTCCTTGTTTGTTGCCATGTCTTGTAATGATATTGAGAAAAGAGTAGAGTTTCCCTTGTCTGCTCTCATACCATGTTGGGCTGAGATAGCCCCTTAGGATCTTTGCAAGGGATAACTCTAGGTGAAGTAGTTGTAATAGCGGAAGCGTTTAGTGAAGAATTTGAACCGACCTTGCACTGGTGTGTGAGAGCAAAGTTGATTGAATTAAACAAGCAAATACAAGGATTTATATAAGAGTACAGGGAATAGATAGATAACTGTATTGCTGTTGCGGTTCGATATAGCGCGACTCGGGCAACTGCTCTGTAACGAGTCAGTTGTGTGTCCTTAACTGTCGCGCTGTAATTGTCGAGTCAAAGGTCAGCGACCTTTGACTTTCTCGTAACCTCCAGGCGGTTACCCTAACCTCCGAGGTTGACTCGATGCTTCGATTGGGACTGCTTCGCTTGGTACCTTGGATTTTGATACGACAGAAGCGCACTTAGGACTTATTGTTTCCAACAACTTTCACGCGCTTATCAGAGGAGGGGAGAGGTTGAAGAAATTTGTACTAGTGACAGGAACTCAACAAAATAGATAGTACGAACTGGCTGGATACATCAAATCCGTGATCAGCAAAAACACAGCCGTGGAGGCTGGTAAGGCCAAGCCCTTCTAACCTCATTATATGCACACGTGAAGGGCGATCCGCAAACAATACCTAGCTAATAAGTACAACCGTGATGTCGGTTCTCTACAGCACTCTAAGAATCCTGGCCGCTTGGGCGCAGTGCATGCGAAGCAGCTGCACGGGAACGCTGTTCGACTCCAGAGATGTGTCGACGGCGATCTCCACAAGGTCGTTCTCAATCGCCAAAAGCAGTCGCTCAGCCTCTGCGACGCGCAGTTGTCGCCGCACCTGTGACTCCACGTCGACATCCATGCCTAGATCGCTGATGCCGCTCCGCACGCGGGAAAGAAGAGCCCGGCCCGCACCGGCGATGCTCTTGCCGTTACCGGGAGCGTGGTTCAGCGTGCGGCTGAATGTGACGAGGAAATCCGCCATGGATGCGCCGGACGGCAGCACGGGAGTGGCGGGGGCATCTGAGTCGGGTCGGTTGACGGCGGCGGGTGCAGCTTCAGCCCTGACTGCGGGAAGTCCACGTGCAATGAGTGTTCGTGATTTCAGCTGCGACGCGGGAGACGCTGTGGTCAGGCCCCTGGAGAGAACGGCGGAGGACAGGGTAGCAGCCTGGTTGCATGAGAGAGCCATTTCGTAGAGCGAGGGTTACTTGCGCTGATGTATCACGAACAGATACAATAAGGAGCGGGAAATATCTGTGAGTAAAAGAATTATTTACGGCTTTGGATAATGAAACGGAGGTGGAGCCTCTTTTTGTTGAGTCAAGCACCGAGCCCGAGAACTGCGCGACTCGCAAGAGTGCGGCGGAAGGAAGCGAGAGGTGCAGGTCCCGTAGCTGGGGTGGGAATATCGGAAGGTGAATGAACGTGACAACGACACAGGGGACAACTCGAGCTGTGCGATTCGAAGTAATTTTGTGGGAAGTGAAAAATCTTCAGCATTCTGCACCGTGGAGAAAGATGCAGCTGTCTCCCTCCTCTCTCACCGTGTTCCGGGCGGGAGCTGGGGTTTGTTCCGTGAATTTGCTCCCAGCCTCGATTGATCAAATTCTAAGGAAAGCTGGCACAATTGGGAATTCACAAATCCTGGCTTGGTGCATTGGGCTGCCATCTTGGCGAAGCGTCACTTACGTGGCTGTTGGGTTGGGGCCGACGTGGAGCGTAGTTGGTTGCTTTGGTTTAGAAACACGTCCACAGGGGGTTCGCTAAAGCTTTGCTTCGATTCATGGATTGCCCACATAATTTCTGGTCAACATGTGTAGTCATAAGCAATTCATGAAACATATTCAGCACAAAAGCTTTTACTTCACGACAAACAAATCAAAATCAGAATAAAACATGTGTTTAATAATTTTATTATTATTTTTTATGTTTTAATTATTATTCGTATAGTGAAGAAGAGTAGAGGGCTTACATTTGTTCGTGGCTGATTGTAAATGGACTGCGCAGCTCAGGTCTAGGATACACTTTGAATTCCACCCACTCCGCAATCGAGGTTTTTTAAAATAAGACAGAATCCAACGGTACTCTTGGTACGATTGTGGCGGTGGTACAGTACCTAGGTCCGCCGTTCAGACCACACGAAACCATGCCAACAACCACCCACCCTTGGTTAGATTGGATGAGCGTCTTCGCTCCACATCTGGCCGTTGGTTTCCTGTACCGACTTCTGCAACAACCTCGAGATTGACATTTCGTGAAGTGTTCATCAGAACTTGCGAAGCGTTACTGTTGCTATTTCCTCGCACAAATTGTTTAGGGTTACGAGCATTTCAGCTCCGCGTGTTTCGTCATCCCGCCTATCGCCGCAACCCACCGCGTTCGTCTGTCACACCGCGCTCACCGAAACCTCGACAAGTTCGAGAATAGCTCTGGAAGAGCTTCGGAAGAGCCTCGGATGAGCCTCGGGCGTGTCGCCTCCAGTCTTCTCTGTCTCTTGAATCCCACCTTCCTAGGTGACTTGCCTTTCTCCCATCCCAGCTCGGCATTCCCCTCCCTCAGGCATTTCCCATCCCACGCTCACATCCCTAGTCATACCCTTTCAGCTGCATCTGTCTAGTTTCTCCAAATCTTTATCTTGAGAGTCGCCACGTGCTGTATTTCGTGCTGGACCCTGAGTTAGAGAATTTAGGCCAGTTAAACTTCAGTGTTTTTCCCATTAGGCTGGAAACAACCAGCTTACTCTCATCTTCTCCGTAGCTGAGGTCTGGTTTCGGTCCGCTCGAGTGTTCAAAATCAGACAGAAGCTGCTTAACACAGGCACCTGAATCTGTTACTCCAAGGACTCTACTTCTGTGTCGCGAGTATAGGATGGACTTGAGATAAAGTGTGCATTTCAGTTTCGAGCCGTGTTCGCCATTGTCGGCCCACCCTGTCAGGGCTAGCATAGGACGTTTCTCAGTCATCCTACTCTCTCCATCACGTTCTCCTAGTTGGCGCCTATGGATTGGGTACTATGGTTCGTCGGGGTAATTATAGCCCTAGTATGCACCCTCGTAGCTGTATTCTTGTCAGTACGGCATATTATCCAACATCTACAAAATTATACGGAGCCGACGTTCCAACGGTACATCGTCCGAATTATTTTCATGGTTCCAGTAAGTCTTGGGAAACTCTGTGTCTTGCGGACTCCAGCTGAAACCAGCATGTCGGGTTCCTAAATCTTAGTGTTATAAAGGGATTGGTTCCCGTTGCAGATTTAGTTGTGTTGCTCTTCAGTCTACTTCAAACCAAACTGGTTGCTGCTTCGCGCGAACGGCTTAATCAATGGGTCTTTGGTTGAACCCTGCAGGTGTATGCGACCATGTCTTTCTTCGCTCTGGCTTTTAGCGCTTACGCGATGTATTTCAACACCATCCGAGACGTGTAAGTGAAACAATCCTGCTGGTTACCTTTGGATCTTTGTTCATTCTGTAGTTGCCAAGCGCCTCTGGTAATTCCAATTTCAAGTCAATACCGAAGTTGCCGTACTTCTCTCCGCTTTCTCGCTGCCCATTCGTCTTTCTCAATTCGTAACTTCGTCCCCGTGATTTGCTGTTATACCCCTTATAATCAACCTCAGCTATGAGGCATGGGTGATCTACAACTTCCTGTCGCTGTGTCTGGCGTGGGTGGGGGGTCCCGGAGTGGTCGTGACGTCTCTCGCTGGTCGCGTGCTCAAGCCGTCCATCGTTCTCGGCACCTGCTGCCTGCCTCCCATGCCGCTCGACGGGTAAGTTGCTGCCTAGTGCGTGGGTGACTTGCACGGCACCCTGGCACGGGAAGGCTGTCCGCGCTGAAGCTTTGTGCCCTTAAAAATCTCTTGCGCGGATGGCCGCAAGTTGATTTGGGTTCACTTCACCTGTGCAAGCGTAGCGTGAATCCTTTCCATCCACCAGTTAGGTGTCCTCCACACTTGGATTAACACCGGCTCGTCTCCTTTGTCTCCCGTCGTCCCATTCTCCGAATGACTTCAGAATCGACTTTGAACGTCTCTCCCTCCCATTCAACCTCCACCAAACACCCCCGGACCCTCCCGCTCCTCTCCCCTCCAGCCGGTTCATCCGGCGCTGCAAACAAGGCTGCCTGCAGTTCGTGTTCCTCAAGCCCATCCTGGCCGCGCTCTCGCTCATCCTCTACTCGTACGGGCTGTACAACGACGGCAACTTCAGCGCGTTTGACTCGTACCTGTACATCACGTGCGTCTACATGATCTCCTACTCCATCGCCATATACGCGCTCATCCTCTTCTACGTCGCCTGCAAGGACCTCCTCACCTCCTTCAACCCCATCCCGAAGTTCCTCATGATCAAGGCGGTTGTCTTCCTCACCTACTGGCAGGTACGCTCCTTTTATCCCTGAAACAACCCCTCTCCCCCCTTTTCCAACCCCTCCTTTCCCTCTCCCGCTCCTCTTTTCCCCCTTCCCCCTTTCTCCCTCCTTCGCCTTCAACCCCATCCACAAGTTCCTCATGCTCATGGCCATTATCTTCCTCACGTACTGGCATGTACACCCCTCCCCACCTTAGTTTTCCACCCTGAAACCTTCTCCCAACCTTCCCCACCCGCCCTTCTCCCAAGTTACCAAGTTCCTTCTCACCCCACCCCTCCCCATTTTAGTCGTTCCCAAGTTCCTTCTCCCATTTTTCCCTTCCCCCTCGCAATCGAGTCCTTCATGCTCAAATCAATCGCCTAAATCGCGCCTGAGTAGCCATCGTTCTCCCATACCCGTTCCCCCTTTCCACCTCCCTCCGCACCCCTCGTCTTAACAACAGCTTCACCTTTCTCGTTGCCCATATCATACCCAACTAACCATCTAATCTTCTCCTCCTCTCCCACACAGTTGCTCCCAAATCCCCTTCATTCAGGGAGTCATCATCTTCTGTAACGCCCCTTATGCAATCTGCTAACCATTGTCTTCCCCATCCGCATATTCCCCCCCCCTCCCACACGGCCACTCCCATATCCCTCATTCAGGGAGTCATCATCTTCCTCATCGCCCATTTCACAGCCAGCCCAGAGGGAGCAGCGGATCTCCAAAACGTGATCATCTGCTGTGAGATGGCGCTCGGAGCCATCGGCTTCATGGTTGCATTCCCCGTCAAACCCTACATGGTCGCGAACGTGGGCACGTCAGGGGCAGGTCCGATGGATTTCCAGGGGTTCGGGCTCGCAGGGCTGGGCCTGGCGAATATGACTGAGGAGCAGAGGGGCGCGCTGATCTCTGCGTTTAAGCATTCTGTCAATATGGGGGATGTGGTGAGCGACACGGTTCACCAGTTCGCTCCGACATACCATGACTATGTGCTGTACAGCGATGGGTCGCAGGACAAGCCGCAGCACTACCGCACTCGCACCTTCGTTCCAGCAGGTAGGCCCTCCTTCAGTAATTCATTGGCTTTAAAGAGTGTCCTTGTTTAATTGGTCGCTTTCCACTTGTTTCAAGGGGCCTCTTTCCTGTGCTTGCCCCCTTCTTTATTCCGTTTTCATAGGCCTCACCCTGTCTCTCACACACCGTTCCCACCCACATCTCCCCACTTCCACCGCGAATCCCTCCTCTCCTTCAGGCAAGGAGATGGAGAATGCGCGTAGCATGAGGCAAACCTTCAGCTCGGGCCGCACGGGGCTCCTCACAGCCGAAGCCACCGCGTCAGAGCGCCGCTTTGCCAACCTCTTCGCCTCCATCTCTCCTGGCGCTGCTGCTGGCGCCGGTGGTGCTGCTACAGCTGCTGCTACAGGCGCTGGTGGAGGGTCTGCTACAGCAGCTGACGCCTCTGCTTCTGCTGCTGCTGGGCTCAGCAATGGGGTGGCAGTTGGAGGGTCTGCTGGTGCTGCCGCAGCAGGGGCGGCTGAATCTACCGATACACCAGCAGGAGCAGCGGCAGCAGCAGCAGCAGCAGCCGCAGCTGCAGCTGCTGCGGCGGCTGCTGCTGCGGCTGCTGCTGCCGCCGCCGCCGCTTCGAGAATCAAGGGAGAGACGGTTGTGAGCATTCGCCATGACATGGACGATCCAAACGCAGCTATCCTGGAATCTCCCACGGGAGAATCCTCGAGCTCGTACGACCCTCCGGTTAAGAAGATCAATTCATCGCTTTCTCGAAGCAGCAGCAAGGGAGTGGAGGGGGGCGGAGTTAGAGGGATTGGGTCGGAGGGTGAGCCGCTGTCACAGCGGGGGTCGAGCATCAATGATGAGGAGAACTCTCGGTTGAGACGCAGCTCGGGGGCCGCAAGCAAGAAGGAGAACGAGTTTGGGTTTCTGATGAATGAGGATGATATGATTGAGGAGGGAGATCCTCGACTTGACCTTGAGGGGTTTGTAAGTGGGTAATTCCATTGGAAGTCAACTTCATGTCTGACAATGTTGACATCACATTAGGGCGTTTAATTTGTTCATTGCAGATAGTCAATTTATATATATGATCTTGTATGTTGGTCTTGAGTTCCAGACATATCTTGAATTTAGAAAACTGACTGGGTAGAAAGAAACGAGGAATGAAATCGTCCCCATGAATATTTTGGTTAATATCTCGCCTATGGAGCATCCATTAAGTATAATCTTACAACTATTTACATAATTTATACATGATAGATTACACGAACTCGGATGTCCTTGCATTTCGCGTTTCACTAAGTCCCTAAGTCTACTTCACACGGAGCGGAGAACACGGGCAGCGTGTGCGCACTGCAAGCGCACTGCCTGCACAGGGAAGGCCTCGGGCGTCACGGCAAGTTCGAACTGCAGGCGGCCCAAATCCCTCTCCACCTCGAATAGCAGCCGCTCGGCTTCCACGCCCTTCACCTGTAGAGCATTAGCAAATCAGAAACGGAGCATCGGGGCGTGAGTTCAATGAAACCCGTGAAAAAGCGTCCGTAAGAACGCCACAAACAACCCCCGAAACAAATCAACGATAGACCCGATAATAGCAGCAAGCGAGAGAGCACGTACCTGGTCCGTATCGAGCAGGTTCCGCAGCGACTCCAACACGTGATCCAAAACGCCGGCACCAGCGGCGACGAGATCGCGACTACGGCCGGGCATGAGGTGAAGCATGCGGCTGTACGACATGAGGCAGTCCGCCATGGCTGCTCCGGATCGCAGCGCGGCTGGCGGCGGAGCGAAGCTTGTGGGTGCGTTCCGGCGGCGCGCGGACGATGACGACTTTTCTGCAATGAAGTGAAAAGGAAGGTTAGCAACGACGGAGGGAGATGCAAACGGGGCAATGGTAGGAGTACTGATCGCGAGCTAAACCAGTCATTAATGCCAGAAGACAACTTCGAAAAGAGAATACGCACTGTGTTGGTTGATGCGGGGCGCGGGAATCGCGGAGGAGGATGGTGAGATTGCAGACGATGGCGACTCGGAGGTTGTCTCCGCTCGCTCGGCGCGTCGCGTTGGAAACGGCGCTGATACAGAGACCATGGTATCCGAGGTTGGCGGCGAGGCGGCGGATGACGGCGCGATGGTGGGCGATGACGACACAGTAGGCACTGGACTGACGGTGGCCGGTCGTGCGGTGGGCACTGGTTTGACGGTGGCCGGTCGTGCGGTCGGTGATGGTTTGACAGTGGCCGGTCGTGCTATGGTGGGCGCTCGTGCGACGGGGGGAGTGCGTGCGACGGAAGGGGCTCGTGCGACAGTGGGAGATGGCACGACTGCGGTGGGCGGCGCTTGACAGCGGATGAACGGCATGGCAGCAGCGGGGAGTGATCTATTAACAAGGTTCCGTTTCCCCATTAGCGAAATCGTCGAGTTGGCGGAGCTTCCGAGAAGAGCAGAAGCTGGGTGGGGAAGAGCGAGAGCCATGTTTGAGACTTACGGGGGAGATCAGCACCGCCACTTTCAGAAACCGGGTGTCGCAATCTCCGTATGCCGATAGTTGGAACCAGAAGCTTGTAAAGATTCCGGTGCTTGAGGTGGATGATTGAGGTGACTGAGTAATAAGCGATGGAGCCTACTATATATGGACAGCTGTTGCTGGTGCGTCGTCAGCGGCGCGAATTTCCTCGCCTGCAAGAGGAATACAGCAGCACTACTTCCTGCACTCACCTGGGATTTGGGCGGGAAAAATGTCCAAGCCGCTGTTTCGCGCCTATCAAAATGTTTGCGTAGTTCGTGAACGACTGTGACGTGTCGAAGCGCAATTATGTTCAATGATGGTGCGGTCATCTTTGATTACTGATTGGTTGGAGTATTTCAAAATGCCTACGTGGTCGGGACATGTGCGACGAACCAATTCCATTGACGAATTGGATTTCGGCACGCTCGAAATCACAAATAGCTGCAATAGAGGAGCAACACCCCCCCCTTTCCTTCACTTCTGGGTCGTGTCATGGATTGCTTGCAATGATGCTGTACTCGTGCAGTACTGGGAGCGTGTACACTATGAACGCGTATGATTGCTGCTGCTGTTCTCGAATCTCAACAACATGAACTATATAATGTTCATCCTTACTTGTGATAGTACACTCTGATTCAAACATAGAGAAGTACATCCATGGCATGCCTGTTTACAACACAACTTGCAATTCCTATTCAATCTCGAGTCAAAAGCGAAAGGCTTCATCCAAGAATCAGGAGCTAGCGGCAGGGGCAGCAGCATCAGTGCCATTGGTGAGGGCAAGAGGGTTGGGCGGCTCATTGAAGATCTTGATGTTCTCGGGGCCTCCATTGCGAATGGCGACGTAGAAGCTGGCGTACATGTTGACTCGGTCCATGTACTGCTGCTGTGTGATGGAGCGCACTTGCACCACTGCCATTGGATGGGGGGAGGGGGAAAAAAGGCAAATATTAGATTATAGCGAGGGGAGGGACGAGGAAGTCGGGGGAGGATGGGATTTAAGATGGGAGGTGGGGAGGAAGAGGAGGAAAAAAAGAGGGGGAACGTGGTGGGGCTGACATGAGATGCAGGAGGAAGGAAGGAACTCGTTTTTCACCCCATGATCCTGGTTCAGCTGCATCGTTATGCCAGTCAGCTTCCCCCTAAGTCATACCCCAAAGAGAGCACTCTCCAGCTCTTACCCTTGAATCCAGCCTTCTCTATGTCCTTGGCATACTCGGGGTTGCGCGACGCGCTGCGCCAGATGACACGACCTCCGGGCTGCAACGGTGGGGAGAAAAACAACAAGGGGGAGAAAGAAGAGGAAAAGGATGACAGGTCAAGGGAAGGGATGAAGTGCACTATATGACACAGCCTTCAGGCTGCAGGCCTCAGTGGAAAGAGGAAGATAAGATATCAACGGCTCCAACAGAGGAGAGATGAACTGTGCTACAAGCACTGATCTGCAGATCACACCCACTCGTAAGGAAACAGGCATGCCGCCGCAGAGAGACTGCTGGGACACGGGTTGGGGAACTAGTACCTCATAAGCCAATGACTGGGCTTATGGTTCACTGCACTCGCGACCTTACACAGTCCGACAACCTTGCTGCCTGGACTCACCTCAACTTGGTCCTTGTCTGATTTCAGTGAGTGTTTAAGTCTCGCTCTTTTCAGATGATTGGTACTTCGAAAGTCTCGCTCACCTTGACTTGGTCCTTGAGTGCTCGGCAGAGAGTGTCAATGTCACGCTGCCCCAGCCAATCCACATGGTCCATCAGAATGACCTGGCAGGGAATGGGAGGCAATCAGCGATGGGGTGGAATTGCCAGAGATGAGTCAGCGAATGGAAGGAAAAATTGGAGAGCGTGTCAATGGCACGTTGCCCCAGCCAATCCACATGGTCCATCGGAATGACCTGGCAGGAATTGGGGAGGTGAGTGGGGGGTGAGACAACAAGACCAAGGCGAGTGAGGGGCGAGGAGAGGAGAGGTGAGGAGGAGGGAATGAGGAGAGGGGTGAGCAGAATAGGCATCAAATGGAGTTGCGAAGGATCAGTCAGAGATAGAGGGGAAAGCTTAGCTACTCTCTTTCAACTTGGAACTCACCCATCAAAGGGACAGATAAATTTACGCAGAACAAAAGTACAGTATACCTTGGTGTACATGCCATGGCCACATGTATGACCATAACGAGACGCACACACACACCTTGGTGTACATGCGTGCTCGCAGCTCCTCCACAAAGAAGGACGTCGAGATGAGCATGCAGTCCCGGGCGGCAAGCTCCGTCTGTCACACAAGAGAGGGGAAGAGGCAGGAGAGGGGGAGAAATGAGGGACCAGAAGCACAAGGGGGCAGGAAAAGAGATGTGAGAGGTAGAAGAGGGCAGCGAGGCGCGAGGAGGGGAAAACTAGGGCCAAGGGTTGGACGCATGCAAGAAGAGGGATGAAGAGCAGCAGGACGGCAAGTCGGGTGAAAGGCCCTTGTTTTGGTCACCTGAGAGTGAACGAGCAGGAGGGACGCAAGTGCTGCTCTTTCACCACAAACCCAAGACCCTCCGCATAGAAGTACTTTACTTCCACCATGAGCTCATGCCTTAGCCTGTATTCCCCCTCTTAAAGCCCTGCGCCCCGTACCCACCTTGAGCTTGTTGAAGCAGGGCTTTAGCAGGAAGCGCGGGCAGCAGTTGCGCCCCTCGCAGCTGCACATGCTTGGCATACGTTGAAGCTAAAACCCATGAGCGTCACCCCTAGCCCGAGCCTGAACGTCACCACTAGCCCTGCGCCTGTACCCACCTTGAGCTTGTTGAAGCAGGCTCCTGCAGGAAGCGCGGGCAGAAATTGCACCACTCACCGCTGCACATGCTTGGCATGCTTTGAGACTATAACCCTGAACTGACCTTGAGCTTGTTGAAGCAGGGCTCCTGCAGGAAGCGCGGGCAGCAGTTGCGCGAGAACTGGCCAGTCAGGCAGCAGCGGTAGAAGTAGTTGCTGTGGGGGGGGAGAGAGGGGGAGGAGGGGGGAAGAAAGAGAGAAGGGGGCAACGCTTCAGCCACAAAGTGCAAGCAGTGCACGATGTAGCAGTGATACACGCTCTCGCCACTTGCGCGCATTACACCAACCGTCACTGTATTCACCTGTCACCAAGTAAGGGCGGCGCGGGCCCCAGTGATACACAATCTCTCAACCTTCACCTGCCGGGGCAAGTGGCATCTGCCACCAAATTCAAGCAGCGCACAGCGTAGCAGTACACGTTGTCCTCCTTGCGGATGAGATGAGGCGCATCTAGCCCCTGCCCTCCGCACCCCCAGTATGTCCAACAGCCATACATACACTAACCACAGGACGCCACACAAGCCTCACCTGTCACGAAGAGAAGTGGTCTCTGCCACTGAATCCAAGCAGCGCATGACGTAGCGGTATACGTTGTCCTCCTTGCAGATGAGGGGCAGCTGGCCCCTGCTCTCCCCATCCCTGCCCGCCTGCCCCTTGCGCGCTAGCCGCACACAC